TTATTCCATATATTCAGGTATCATTCATATATTCAGATTTTTATTCCGTATGTTCTGACTTTTATTCCATATACTCTGACTCCATCTTTATATATTATGGTTTTATACCGGGCCAACAAGGTGAGCATTTAGCCCTTTAGCCACGCCCCCTTTAGACCACGCCCATTTTAGACCACGCCCCCTTTAAACCACGCCCTGTTTAGACCACAAGCCCTTTAAACCACGCCCTCTTTAGACCACAAGCCCTTTAAACCGCGCCCTATTTGAGCCACGCCCTCTTTAGACCCCACGCCCTCTTTTAACCACGCCTTCTTTAGATTCCGCCCTATTTTAACCACGCCTTCTTTAGATTCCGCCCTATTTAAACCCCGCCCCATTGTAACCACGCCCCATTTTAACCACGCCCTCCTTTAAACCACGCCCCCTTTTAACCACGCCCTCTTTAAACCGCGCCCTCTTTAAAACCACGCCCATTTATTCAGACTTTTATTCCATATATTCAGGTATCATTCATATGTTCTGATTTTTAGTCCGTATGTTCTGACTTTTATTCCATATACTCTAACTCCACTTTTATATATTTTGGTTTTATACCGGGCCAACAAGGTGAGCATCCGCCCCTTTAGCCACGCCCCCTTTAGACCACGCCCTCGTTTAAACCACGCCCTCTTTTAACCCCGCCCTCTTTAAACCCCACCCTCTTTAACCCCGCCCATTTATTCAGACTTTTATTCCATATATCAGGTATCATTCATATATTCAGATTTTTATTCCATATATTCAGACTTTTATTCCATATATTCAGATTTTTATTCCATATATTCAGACTTCTATTCCATATATTCAGACTTTTATTCCATATATTCAGACTTTTATTCCATATATTCAGACTTTTATTCCGTATGTTCTGACTTTTGTTCCGTATATTCAGACTTTTATTCCATATATTCAGACTTTTATTCCATATATTCAGACTTTTATTCCGTATGTTCTGACTTTTATTCCATATACTCTGACTCCACTTTTATATATTATGGTTTTATACCGGGCCAACAAGGTGAGCATTTAACCCTTTAGCCACGCCCCTTTAGCCACGCCCCCTTTATACCCCGCCCTCTTTAACCACGCCCTCTTTAGACTCTGTCCTCTTTAGCCCCGCCCCCTTTAGACCCCGCCCTCTTTAAACCACGCCCATTTATTCAGACTTTTATTCCATATATTCAGGTATCATTCATATATTCAGATTTTTATTCCGTATGTTCTGACTTTTATTCCATATATTCAGACTTTTATTCCATATATTCAGGTATCATTCATATGTTCAGATTTTTATTCCATATATTCAGACTTTTATTCCATATATTCAGACTTCTATTCCATAGATTCAGACTTTTATTCCATATATTCAGACTTTTATTCCATATATTCAGACTTTTATTCCGTTTGTTCTGACTTTTGTTCCATATATTCAGACTTTTATTCCATATGTTCTGACTTTTATTCCATATACTCTGACTCCACTTTTATATATTATGGTTTTATTCCATATATTCAAGCTTTTATTCCACATATTCTGACATTTATTCCATATGTTTAGGTTTAATTCCATATATTCAGCCTTTCAGTCCATATATTCAAACTTTTATTCCATATATTCTGACCTTTATTCTTTATATTCAGACTTCTATTCCATAGATTCAGGCTTTCATTCCATATATTCAGGTATCATTCATATATTCAGATTTTTATTCCGTATGTTCTGACTCTTATTCCATATATTCAGACTTCTATTCCATATATTCAGACTTTTATTCCGTATGTTCTGACTTTTATTCCATATACTCTGACTCCACTTTTATATATTATGGTTTTATTCCATATATTCAAACTTTTATTCCACATATTCTGACCTTTATTCCATATGTTTAGGTTTCATTCCATATATTCAGAATTTCATTCCATAAATTCAGACTTTTAGTCTTTATGTTCAGGTATCATTCTATATACAGTGGGGGAAATAAGTATTTGAGCCCTTGCTGATTTTGCAGGTTTGCCCACTTACAAAGAATGCTTATTTTTCCTCATCAGATGGTTATCAATTTTTATAAATTCATATGATGTGATTTTCTGGAATTTTCTTTGGGATTCTGTCTTTCACTGTTAGAATGTACATATGATTAAAGTTATAGATCGTTGCATTCTTTGCTTCGTTCTGCAGGTCAACCTGTGGCTGGAGCTGGTTCCTCACCTGCACAGCCTCAACGAGGTCACTCAGCTCATCCCCACCACCACCAAGGTCCGTATCCAACACGTAATAATATATATAATATATAATATCTAACCGTATCCACACAGCCTAAACGCTCAGATTAACTCATTGACTGCCAAAGACGTCTATAGAGGTCTTTTATGTTTTTAACGAGAGTGTCTGGGGGACGATCTGCTAAAGCTTGTCCGTAAATATGGGC